CAGAGTCGCTATTTGCCTAAAGTCTCCAATCGACAAGGTCAAGGGAGCCCGCTTGCAGAGCTGCAAAGGCAAGCTCGAGTCAAAGTCACATGAGGATCGCTTTCGGTGAAAAACTTGCAGCGAGAAACATCCCTCGCTTGCATGCTCGGGCCTTTTTTCGGGCAATGTGAGGCAAACATATGGGCAAGTGAGCAGTTCGCACAGATGAAGAGACTTCACTGACACGTCTTCATCCGAAACACTCGAGCCCCAAGTTTGAGTAGATGCGAAAACGCTGAACTTGTGATGAATGTTTTTTCGCCCAGATCATAGCAGCTCATTTGTTTTTAAAATTCTGCTTTAGGAGAATAAAACAAATGTACCATGCAGTAAAAACATATCATAGCCAAGGAACTAAAGACAACAAAGCAAGGAAGCAAATGCTTCATCCTTGCAGATGAAGTGGTCAGTACCAAACTTCCTTCCTGCCTTCCTGTAGCGAAGTGTTTCCCCTTCTCTCAAAGCCTTCCGTGCCCAAACAACAAAACGGGCAACTGGCAACACACAAAACCAGGGCAGAAATCTGGGGGACCGCGCGTTCTCTGGGACGGGGCTTGTTGGCAACACCGATGTGACGTGGACAGCAGTCCTGTTCGGGAAAAGGAGGAGACACCAAGCAGGGCAGCCAAGTGCCCGTCTGCCCCCCACATGGTGTCGCTCAAGCGAATTATGAAGCTCGGGCCAACTGCCAGGGCGAAGGTGGCAACGCGGGTTCCTCGTCGAATGGATGTGCCTGGATGAGCAGGGCTTTGGGATTCCAGGCGGCGTGGGACTGGCGAGGAGTCCAGAGGACCATTCCATTGAGTAGCGCGGTGTCTTGCTGAGCCACGCACCAGCGATAGCCTGACCGGCGTCATCGCGATCCTCATGTTCCGCCAGGCTTGGCGGGACCAGCTGACCTCTAAAGAGGTGGACGAGGGACTCTGGCAGAAGGTGGCGCCACTTGTTGCTCCAATGGCCCTGCACTAAATCAAGCATGAAGCCAGGCACCTCAGGCACCCAAGCTGCCGGGCGTACTTTTTCAATAAGCGCGTCATCTATCGGGACCCCCAGCGCCGCTGGGGCACGCTCTTTCGGAAGATGCAGAAGGGCATCCCAAAGGGGGGTCATGGCACCCCTAGGAAGGACGCCGAAAATTTCTAGGCACGGCTGCGGCTCAACATGAAGAAGCGACTGGACCTGGTGGTCGTTAAGCATCAACGCCGCATGGAGGTTTTGTGGCTTCATAGCCTTGAAACACTTCTGGGCGGCGGCAACCCTTGACTGGCCTGACGTTGTCAACTGGCCATATTGCATTCCGTAGGGTTCTCCCCCTTCAGTGTTTGGTGAAAGACGATCAGTGCCAATCCCCACAGACACTGGTGCAGATGTACTTGAGGTGGATAGACTCCTCAGGCGAGTCTGGCACAGGGCCAACGCTCCGTCCGTTTCCGACTGGACTAACCTGGTCACTCTTCAGAAATCGACCTGCGCCTGACTTTCTTCTTCCCCAGTGTGAAGGATCCTTGTTACCTCGACGCCTTCCGAGGTGCCGCCCCTTTTGGCCGCATCGCGAATGGGATGCGCGCACGGCTGGGTGGGCGGCGTTGCAGGGAATGCAGTCGGGACGGCGCCCGCGCAAACAGTTCCTCAATGCTCCCGTGGAGACGCAACGATCCAGAAGACGCTCAGGCCAAGATTGAAAGCATGGCTAGTCCCTGGGAAGACCAGACAGGACCTGCATGAGCCAAGGGAGCCTGCATCCTCCTTTGCACTTCAACCCAGGGTCCTACCCCGAGCATCTTGCAGTCTCAAGGCAGGGATGCGTGGATGGAGTTGTTTGGCTCCTCTGTTTGCGTCTGCAAAATGGTAAGAGTCGTCCGACACCCTCGCTAGCCGCTAGCTCTCACAGGAGCTGAAAGCGAGACACGAGCCAATGTCTGCGCTTGCCTGAATAAGCATGCAAGTGACACTGTGCAGCCCACAGGGCGTGTGAAAAGTGCGATGACACTGACAATCGAGAGGAAATGAGTCCTCCACAAATACTGGTGCTCTGAGCTGTTAACATCTCAGTCGGCGCTTGCGAGAAGGTACGTCTTCGGACACTGATGTAGCCCCCCTCTCCCTGGGAGAGGGGGTCTTTTGCTTTGCCTTCAGTGTGCGCTTCTTTCCCGCTGGCAATTGCGTCTCCAGGTCGCAATTTGTAGTTTCCACCTCACACGCTGTCTTCAGATGCATGATCCACCCTTGAGGTAGCCCTGGTTTTGGACAGAGCGCTCCCTTTGCTGTCCTTGGATGATTATGCCATTTGCCAGCCTTTTTGCTTGCATGCCTCTGCTCATTTGCACCCGCCGTGAATTCGCCCCCGAGCTTAGGGAACTGTACGCCTTTTTTACTGAGCAGTCTTTGCATGGCCCGTGATGCACCTGCCATTGGGTGCCGGAGTTCCCTACTTCGTCTTCGTCGTGAGAGGGGCCTGTTTCACCCTTAGGATTAGGACGGCTTTTGTTTTGTCGTTGTTTGGGTTGTTTCGTGTTGTTTGGCGGTGTGATCTTCTGCCGTTGGTCTTTGCTCTAGCTATGTTTCACTGACTCAACCCACAAGACCGGCCTACTGAGCTGCTGACGTAGTAAAGAGGCGCCCATTTCAAAAAACAAAGAGAGTTGAGGGTTTAGAGTTCAGAGTTTTGGGGCTCGGGTTTTTTGGGGGATTTTCGGGTTTGGGTTTGGGTTTTTTGGGTTTCGGGTTTTGGGTTTCGGGATGTTTTAGAGTTTCAGAGCTTAGAGTTTGTTAGAGTTTTTTTTGGGTTTAGGGATCAGGGTTTTTTGGGGCTTTCAGGCTGAGGGTTTTTTTGGGGTTAGGGCTGAGGGTTTTTAGGGTATATGGTTTTTTAGGAGATAGAGCTGGGGTTTCAGGGTTTAGGGTTTGTTTTTTTTGGGGTTTAGGGTTTAGGTTTTTAGGTTTAGGGTTTAGGCGGTTTTTGGGGCGGAGGGTTTAGGGCTTTTTGGGGTTTAGGGTTTGGGTTTTTAGGGTTTAGGGCTTCGTGGGTTTTAGGGTTGGATTTTTTGGGGTTTAGGTTAAGAGGCTTGAGGGTTTGGGCATAGGGACCTATCTTAAAACGATTGAGGTCTATCGCACGCATAGGGGTCTGCGCCAGAGCACCCCCCTCTCTGCCTGTGCATAGGCCCCTGTCCTACTTATGAGAGGTGTCCGTCTCGTTTTATCCTATCCTCTTCAGGGTAGACGGGTAGGGGTAGGGTCTATGCCTTTTCCGGTAAACCCCGATAATATAGGCACCTATCCTAAAACAGATAAACGGCTACTTGGGGGGGACCATACTCGTGCAAGCTTCCTTCAAAGCACACGAGTTTTATTGAAGTTCTTGAAGCCCATCATGCGAGCATTGTGTTTGCAAATGGCGGGGTGGGGGGCCGCCAGCCCCCCCCCATTTTGTCAAGCCGTGCAAGCTTGTTTCAAAGCAGACGAGCCTTTTTGAGCATTGTGCTTGCAAATGGGCGCAGGCCTTCTTAATCCTGCCCAGTTCTGAAAATATGGTGAAAATAGTGTCTAAGTAGAGGTCTTCCCGTGAGAATGCAGCGAAAACACAAGTTTTTCCAATCGAAATATGGTGAAAACAAGGATTTTCGTATTTTCTTATTTAGACTTATTAATGAAATATCGAGAAAACAAGATCTTCCTTTAGAGAAAAGAAAGGCTTTCCTATCAAATTATAGGGAAACCCTTTGTTTTCCAACAGAAAATTGGAGACAATAGAGGTTTTCCGCTGGACTCGTAAGGAGCCCCCATCCGCTCCCTCCCAAAAACAACCCAAAAACAATACCAAAAACAAATCTCCACCCATGTGCTCTACGACAACTTCACTGAGTTCTTTGGCGTCCTGCTTTTTGTTTTGCGGTGCCGGTGCGGGCCTCTTCGGCGAAGCTCCATGGGAGTTAGCGTGAGAAGCTGTGCTTTTATACCACGAAGGCGTGGAAGCCGACCACAACTTCACAGCGGCCAGCAGTGCAAAAATGGTCGATGCCGTCCCGCAAGTCGTTCTGCATCGCGTGAAACGAAGGTGATAACATGTTTGATAGCATGTTTCTGTCTCTCTCTCCCCCCCAGCCTCACGAAAATCACAAGCTTCCACGGTCACGGGGAGTGTGCAGCGAAAGAAGTCTGTAATTGCCGTGCAAGAACGGGGCGCCTTCAAAACAATTTCAGCCGAGAAAGAAAAGCCAAGGGCATGTCCGGCAAGTGGCACGGCGAGCAATTAGCCCGTGCAGCTGCGTTGCATTGTGCAACTGCGTTAGGTGCTAAGCAAATGAGGTTTAATGTTGGGACTCAGCTCGCCGGCGTCATGAAACGAATGTCGTACACTGACTTCAACATTATTTCAAAGCCAGAAGCGAAAGCAAATCAACGATGCGTTCACGTTGCGCTTGCAATTTCTTGAATGTTAATGGGTCCCGAGGCACGTTCGCGCTTGCGGGGTAGGAGGGCATGAGCTTTGCGTTTTTCACAGCCTAAGTATGGGGTTGTTGCTGGGGATACTGTCGCGTCGCAGCAATTACATTCAGCTCATATTGCTGGAGTCTTTGCTGGCCAAGTTCTCAGCTGCTTCCGTGCCGGAATCAGCTCCTGCCGAGTCGCTGTTTCTCTCGACGTCCTCTCTTGCTTTCTCTCCCCTGCGTACTTGGCAAATTGTTTGCTTCCATCGGCTTTAGCGAAATTGCGTGGATTCTCAGGGGAATGCCTGTCAGATTTTGTAAGTATGCCGTGCACCCCGTACTTGAGGGTGCATGCAGCATATAATTTAGTGTTAAAGAACAAGCTGTTTTCGATTGGCATGTGGTTTTTTCTGCGTAATAGCTAATGATCCAGTCAAAAGCGTGTTGATCGTGCCTGCGTCCACAATCTATGGCTTCTTGTTGCGGTAGACCGTCACAGTTCCGGCCTCAATAGCAAAATCATTGGCAACCATGCCTACGGTGGAGAAGATCCTGGTCGTCGTCGTGTATGTAGTCAGCTTGGTCATCAACGGTTTGGCAGCAAGCGGAGTGCTTTCCGGCCTGCCGATCGGCGAAGTGTCTGCCCAGTATCCTACTTACGTGACCCCGGACAATTTGACGTTTCTGGTTTGGAGTGTAATTTATACCTTGGAGTCGCTCGAATGTGTTCGGAACATCATTTGGCTTGCCATGCGTTTTTTCCAGAAAAGATGGGTTGAGTAGATTGGCAACCTACCCATGACAAGCATCTCTGAGAAGACTTCAAGAATGCCTGTCAAGGTTTGTTCTCGTGCTCGCACAGTGTTGTCCCTCCGAGAGCGCGGAGAAGCTTTTGCAGCCGCGGCCTCAGTTGACAACCGAATCACATCAGAACCAGGATTTCAAGTGACATCTCCTACTACGGTCCTTGTCGTTTCAAGCTTCAGATGCTGAGGCAGCCATGTTGCTTGACTGGCATCTCTGTACGTTGGCGCCTGACCATCGCCTTCCTCCTGAATGCAGTCTGGTTGCCTCTCTACGTCAACCTGCAGTTTGGAAAAGCTTTGCTTGTCATCCTGGCATATCTCCTCTTCCTGTTCCTGGTTTATACTGACCTGAACACGGCAACGGCCAATTCGTTCTGGGAGTGGGTCATGTATGCTGCAGGGATCGCATGCAACGTCAGCTGGGTGCTTGTGGCATCGGTTGCGAACAAGTTCACTCTTTTGGGTGAGTTCGGGTGGAAGGATGTGTATGGAGTTGCTGGAGCTCCATGGGCTGCAGTGCTGACGATTGGAGCTGTAGCAGCGATTGCCGTCGTGGTGGCTGTAACGCGCAGTGATTTCGCGTGGTCGCTTGTTGCAGTGTGGGCTTTAGCTGGGCTGTACAGGCAGCACACAGTCCCAGACCCGGACAGCTTCCCGCCAGAAGCCATGAACAAGACTTTGGCACTGTGCGCATTGTGGGCCTGTGTTGTTGTTGGGATAGCTGCAGCCACTGGCATTTGCTTGATACCCGCCAATGGTGTCTTCAAGTCGAAGAACCGGGAGGCGGATCACAAGCCCCTCATTGCGCCTTGATTGCTGACGACCGCAGGATACCGAAGGGTCAGCCCATCAGACAGGAATGGTCACGAAGACATGCTGAACCCAAGTGAAGTGGCAGACCTCATGCGGCAATACAGACTGGTGGGTGCTAAGCACAGCCGCAGCGTTGTAGCCAGATTCATGCGTGCAGCTGTGCACATGTTCCAGCTGCCCCAGTGAAACAAGCGGACGACGCTGCCGAAGGTTGCACCCAATTCAAGGTTGCATGAGGATCTCAGAATTTGGGATGGCTTCAGTATGGCCCATGTACAAGCGAGTCCGGCGAGCCCTTCTGGCAACCGGAATTTTCGGTCAGCCCGGGGGGCTTAGCCAGATTTTGCCTTTTCTCGCCCTTGTCATGCCCATCCCATTTCCGAAGCATGTCTTCTTTTGTTGCCTTTCTGTCGGCACATAAGTTGCTGAGAGCTCGGGCTTTGTGGGAGGTCTTGGGCTTGCGTATGAGCCTTTCGAAATTTGTTTGTTTGGCACCACCCTCACGCAGGATCTCACTATCAGCTTCGAAGTTATCTTTGTTTAGGTCGGGCTTCGGCATTTCTGCTTCATATGAATGTGCTGCCGATTTCGTGGTGGTATAACTGTTTGGGAGGGAGGCCCCACTCTCTGTCCAAGTCGGGCTCGGGCACCAGAACAAGTGCTCCAGCCCATGAGCCAAAGATGTCGAACGCAAAGTTGTTCTTCACCAGCGGCCTCAAGGAACATTGACAGCCTCTGAGTCGTCGTAATTCGAGTTCATGCGCGCACTTCGGCTGCAAGCCTTCGAACTGCAGCTTGTCCCAGTCATTGCAAGTTGACCGTGAAACAGTCGTAAAAGTCTTGCGGTTTCGAAAGTGGTTCGAGGGACCAGTCGTATGTCGCATGGATATGTCCGATCGGCAGCCATGCTTTGACCAGAGTGCCAAAAACTGGTGCAGTGTGCAGCAGCTTCTGCTCGGACAGACCGAGCTCTGTGTTTATCTCTGCTTCCAACCGCAAGATTCGCGAGGCAGTTCTTGTGGCCTTCATGTGCAAGCGCCTGCCTTCAGCACGCCAGGCCATGAACACCACACATTTCCACACAAGCCGTTCATTTATGTTCGAGTTAGGAGCCTTTGTTCGTTCTGAAGCCTGAAGAGGAAAGGAGCATAGAGGGGTGCCGTATCTTCAAAGCCTCGAACCCAATCCTACTAGTTACCGTCTTATCCGAGTCTTGGCTAGAAATTCGAACAAATCTCTGCCCATCTCGCCCCGAAATCTCGCAAGTCGCAAACCAGTGCTCCGAATCCGCCTCAATTTGAACCACTTCTCTCCAGGTGGCTTGCCATCTCCTGCTCACTCGTGCAGGTGTGAGATGCACTGTTCTTGTCTTCAGGTCCTGACAGCCTTTTGGGCCAAGTTGGAAGACGGCTTTTTCTGATCGCCGTAGTAGCCATGGCAGTGATTGTAGAGAAGGTCTTGGTCGTGGTGACCTTTCTCTTGTGCTTGTTTCTCAATGCTTTGGCAGCACGCGGAGATCTTTCCGGAACCACGATCGGCGAGGTGTCGAACAAGTATCCCACCTACGTCACCCCGGACAACATCACCTTTGCGGTCTGGGGTGTGACCTACCTGCTCCAGCTTCTGCTTGTTGTCGCGCAAATTGCCACAACCGAAAGCACGGAGAAGTTGTTATCTCAGCCATGTTGCATGACAACTCTCTCTGTTCGTTGGCGTCTGGTGATGATCTTCCTCCTGAACGCGCTCTGGTTGCCCCTCTATGCCAACCTGCTCTTCGGAAAGTCAATGCTGGTCATCTGCGTCTACCTGGCGCTCCTGATCTCGGTTTACCTTGACGTGAACACCCGGACAACGCAGTCGTTTTGGGAGTGGGTCATGTATGGCTCGGGCATTGCTTGCAATGTCAGTTGGGTTCTTGTCGCGGCTGTCGCCAACAAGCTCACTTTGGCAGCGAGTATGGGAGGCTGGGCCGATGCGTCGCTCGGCTTTCTTCGAGCAGTTTTACGTAGCAGTACGCAATCGCGGTATCTGCGCCTTTTAAGGATGGTTCTGAAGGCTAAGACCAACTGCCCAAGTGCCGAAATTGTCGGGGGGCAGGAATGGAGTCGCTGGGTCTGCGTGGTTTGCGGGGCTTGTGGTGGCCATCCTCTCGGGTGTGGCGATTATGATGGCCTCCGTGGGCAGCGATTTTGCGTGGTCGCTGGTCACGGCGTCTTGAAGTGGTCAGTCAGTGGTGTTGGTATCAAGTTTAGGAATTAAGAGGCAGGTGAACAGAGTTCTTGAAATTTTGATATGCAGGGACTTCTCTCTGAGCAAAATCTCATCCATCAGAAACACATCCGAGGTGTGGTACACTGCAGGAATGTATCGGCAGCACACTTACTCCGATCCATATGCACTTCCTCCCGCGGCTATGAATAAGACACTTGCGATGGTCTCTAAGCAGTGATTGAGCAAAGGCTGTCAGGTGTTGAGGGCTTGATTCCATTTTGAGCTGTAGAAATCATCTAACCGCCCGATTTGGGTTTCTGAGAAGAAAAGACCAAGGTTTGCCTGTGGGCTAGCATGGTCGTTAGTTTTGCGACCTTGTGTGGATTCTTCTTGATCCCTTCCAACGGCGCTTTCGGGGCAAAGAAGAATGATGTGGCAGCAGAGTGATCGCCCCAGAACAGGTGCGCAGCCCATGAGTCCAAAACGTCGAACGCAAAGTTGTTCTCACACACCAGTGGCCTCAAGAAAGATTGACGGCCACTGAGTGGTGGTAATTCGAGTTCATGTACGTGATTTCTTTCAATGCGAGTTGACACCGTGAGACACCTTTTGGTTCGAAGGTTTGGTTTTAGGCGCGTTTAGGTTGGTGAGAAGAAGACAAATCCGCTGTTAACTCAGGTAGTCCATGGCCTGGCACTGCTCGGAAGTTGTTACTGTCATTGTGCCCATCCTTTTGGGCCAGTGTGAGCTAGGCATGGTGGAAGAATTATCATGCTTGCCTGCTTCTAATCCGAGCCTGTGCATGATTTGACGCCAACAACTGAAAACCACTTGTTGGCACACAGGAATTCGTGCTTTTGCGGTTGTTCTGTTGATTTCTGCTGCTTCGAATCGGAGCTCTTTGCATGGACATGTCCGACCGGCACCCATGCTTCGACCAGAGAGGTAAAACTGGTGATCAGAATGTGTTTAGGGCATTCCTTCGGCCAGATCCGTGGGGTGGTTCCAAGATGTTCCAAGCTTGACGACACGCAAGCTCTCTAACTTGAGCGCAGCTAGTATAGCACATCTCAGCCCATCTCGCCAAGAAACCTCTCCAATCTGCCACACACCTGTCTGCTCCGAGTCTTCCTCCACCACAAGTTCTTGACTTCACCCTAACCTTAAACCCTAAACCCTAAACCCTAAACCCTAAACCCTAAACCCCAAACCCCAAACCCCAAACCCCAAACCCCAAACCGAAGCTTCAAGCCGCACTCCCGGTCTGCCTGAACCAGGGATTCTGAAGTTGTCTTGCTGCGAGCCATGGTCCAGCAGCCGGCATTCTGAGGCATGGGCCCACGGTATGCGCCCTTGCTAAACCTGTGCAGAGTCTGAGATCCTATCAGCTCGTATTCCGGGGATCGTAGTAGGCACGCACATACCCGTTTCTCTAAAGGGGGCTCTGAGAAGAGCGTCATGTTGGCAGCAACCCTTCGCAGCCTCTGCTTGGAACTCTTCGATCTCAAATTTTCCTTACCGAAGGCCGGGAAAATCTGGTGGTAGCTTCGCTCTGATCTCCAAGTCCTGCAGAGGGGCTGTGGTTAAAAGTTTCAGATTTCGTTTTGAGAAGACGGAGTACACGCTTTGATAGAGCTTTGGCCACCTAGGCCATTTGCCTGCACGCTTGCTCAGCCAAATGCATCTGGTTGCTCTATTTTTTGATTGTCCCGATGCTGGCTCGAAGCTTCAACCCCATGTATATTGCAAGTCGCCCATGTCTCACATTTCGTATGTTCTCCAGCTGTAGGTGAGGACTTGACCGACTAACACAAGGGTAGCTCGTCCCACATCGTAACAGTTCTCCACCCATCTCGCAAAGCAGGCTAGGGCAGTTTAGCTGCAGGCTTTCGGAAAACCATCCCCAAGTCTTCAAGCCATTATTGGGGGTATTATGATAATTGGGGTCACCTTCTTGGGGTCCTTATTATTTAGGGGATCCTAAACCCTAAACCCCAAACCCTAAACCCTAACCCTAAGCCCTAAACCCTAAACCCTAAACCCCAAACCCCAAACCCTAAATCCTACTACTTGGGGGTCGATTCTAGGGGCCCGCGACTTTCGTAAGCTCCCATATGTGCGGCCCAGCCGGCCGAGCCTCATGTTCTGAAGTTGCCTAGGCCTCAGATGGCCTGGGAAGGTAGGGTTTAGGGTTTAGGGTTTAGGGTTTAGGGTTTAGGGTTTAGGGTTTAGGGTTTAAGGTTTAGTATGAAGCACTGGCTTCTCTAAGCCCAGCGTGCTTCCGCAATCTCTTAAAGGCCGCTGGAAGATGGAGTACAGCGCCGTGACCTCAGTTGTGTCCCGCGCAGCCAGGCTTTTCATTGTTATTGCTGTCTTCGGTATGGTGTTTTGGGGCTGAGGGTTGCGAGCTGAGGGTGCAGGGTTGCTTGGTTGCGGCACAGGTTTTTGCGTTGCAAGAGCGTGTGTAGCCAAGTCGTTGCGGCAACCTGCGCCCAAGAGCCTCCTCCGATCGATTCTTCCTTGCAGTCTCACTTGCACTCTGAGCTCTCATCTTCTGGGTTGGTTCCGGGTTCGCTGCTGCAGATGAGCCCGCGCCAAACCCACATGCAAAGAATTGTTTCTTAATGGTGATCGAACCATGTGGACGAAAACGGATAAGGTGTGGCTCCAAGCTAGCCCCGTACTTCAGCAGAAGAGGATTGTTCTGCGTGGGGGGTGTAGGGATGAGGATGCGTGCCAGTGACTAACGCCATGAAAATGCTCGTGCTTTGAACGTCGGGGTTCGGTTGTGGAGCAGCCAGGGGCGCCAAGCAGCCTTGTTTGCGTGCAGCACGGCTGTGGGCGTGCGCCTGAGATGGGGCACAGGAAGTTCAGCTGATGTCCGGGGTAGCAACGTTTTGGCTTCTGGCGCAACCTCTAGAAGCTTTTGCTGCGGTCCTGGGCGACTTGGTAAACGCCTGCACGCACCACCTCGACAGCCGTGCCAAACCTCCCACAAGCAAGGGAAAGCTTCTCCAAGCGTGTTCGGGCAGGTCTCAAGGGGAGGGCCGAGGCGAGTTAAAGGGGTAGATCATTAGGACTTACAGTTCCCCCCGAGGCCCGGACTTTTTCTTTGCTTCTATCCTAGAACTCGTGCACCTTGAACCCGAAACGAGTTGTAGACCCCTCAACCAAGGAAAGGCTTTGGGTGTTCCAAAATGACCCGGCAAACCAGGTTGAGAAACCACTTAGCCGCAAAAACAGCTCCGTCCATTCTGTCCCGTGCCTGGGCTCTAAATGCTGAACTCTCAAAACTTGAAGCCTTTGTACATACAAAGCCTTTCTCAAAATATCAATACCTAGCGAAACACCGAGCCTCGGAACCGGGGAGCACTGGTTGGAGGTATGGAGGCAGAGAGGGACAGGTGCAAACGGAGCTTTAGGGGCACGAGACTTCCTGATTCTGTTTTTTACTGGTCTGGAATCCCTTGAAGGCCCCCAAATCTTGACGCACGACACAAGATGGATGAAGCCCCCGGGCTCTTTTAGGTGGTGGTCTCGGCATCGTCATCTCCATGGTTGTGAACTTGGCGCGGGCCTCAGGTGTTCCACCCAGGTCTTCAGAATGCTAGCATGAAGGACTTGGGGCCAGCCTGGAATCATTCGCGTCTCGCGGTGCCTTCTTTGCAGATTCCGCATGCATGACACACGGCAGACATGCCAAGGCTGGGCAGATTTGTCATGCGTTCAGGAGTTGGGTGTGACGGTTTGAGGGTTCATGATCTCGGGTCAGGGATGCACGATTTCGCGGTTTTAGAGTGCATTCCGAATTCTGGGTGGCGCGCCTTCGAAAAAAAGTGCCACCAAATCCACACGGCCCGTCACTCCTGTGGCCCTTTATGAAGATTGTGAAGCTAGTGCCCGTCCCTGTAGTCCTAACCGGCTGAAGGCGCTGATCGAGATCTCCATCTCGCCTTTCTTTTCGATGTGTCCTGCCTAGGGATTTGAGAGACTGAGAGACTGAGTTGTACTGCTGGTTCTTTCAATCTCTGGCTGCTCCATTCCAGACAAGGGAAGCCCGAATGACGTACATTCTGCAAGAGTCTGGTCTCTGATCCTGATGTCAAGCATCAAGCGATTTTTTTGAATCTCCCAGCATCTTCTTGAACGAAGGCTTTGCAAACACTGAAGCGCCCGCACTGAAGACCCGTCGAATCCTTCTAGGGCGATGAGCTTTGAGCAGAGGTTGAGAGGGCGTTGTGCAGAGGTTGAGGGCTCAGGGATGAAGAGTCTTCCGTGGCCGAGTGCATGGGTTCGTGCTGTTCTTGCTGTCCGCCAAACACGTCCAAAGAGAAGTCGCTAGTTCCAGGCACCCAGCATGGTACCCCGTGGCTGAATCCAATCCCGCCCCCCCCCAAGCTGTGAAATCAGAACACCGGAACTGAACAAATTCTCGACAAGCTTGGGGAGGTACTTCGGGGTGCTGTTCATCCTCGTGGGCTGCCTCATCCTCTGGCGGGCCCCAGCCCTTCGATCTTGGGGGCCCTTGAGTGTTGTTGGCTTTCGGTGTTCCTGGGGTGTTGCTAGCGTCTAAAGAGGGTTTCCCAACATGAGTTTGGGCCTTGAGTGCTCAGCTGTTGAGGGCCTCCATTCTTCGAACGCAAGGTGTAGGACCTACAGTCCAAGGAAAAGCATCTGAATCTTCACTTCAAGGAATCAAGGAAAGGATGCTTTACCGGCAATGTCAAATATCTGCTCGCCGTGATCTTGTGGTAGAAGCAGGAGGAGTGTGAAGAGCATGTAGGGTTGATGAAAAAGGCCCCAAGACTCACAACATTTCGAGAGAACATCCTTGCGAATCACAATGCAGGATTTCCAGTCCCTGTCGTTCAATAGAAGTGGTGTTGAGGATCTTGGACCAAAGATGGTGGTCAAACAAAATTTTGAGCTTGCCGAAATGGTGTTGAAACGCCATTTGGAGTGTTTATACAGCTTGATTGGCCATTTGGAGGTTCTTGGACCGAAACACCTTTTTTTTGGTCACATTCGGACTTGGGCTGAAGTGATGAGCCGCCCTCTTGGTCAAGTTTTTGGGCTTGAGCCGAAGCGGTGTGAGACATCCTTTCTTCGCTCAAAATCTTTTTACTTGGCCGGAGTGGTGTTGAGACACCTTCTTGTCACAACTTGAGGTACAGCAAAAAGATGTCTCAACACCCTTGGTCCAGGCTCAAAGACCTTGAGCCAAGAAGGGTGTCTCAACACCACTTCGACCGAGTCAATAATGAACCAAGAGGATGTTTGGTCTTGGGCCGTTAAAGTTTTGGACTTGGGCCGAAGTGCTGCTGACCCTTTTTCGAACCTAACTTGAACCACAAGAAGGAGAGTGGTGTTGAGACAGCTCGCCTGCGGTAAATGCTGTTCTACATCACCGGTCGCATACAACATTCCACTTCACAGCAAAGATCTTCAGAAAGAAAACCTCACACCCTGAAGCAACCTGTAATCAAAGTTTGCATTTAAGGCGCAGGGTGGACCTGAAACCGCTAGTCTTGCGTATAGATGACAATAACGATAACCTTTTGCCTTTCCCTTTCTCCTTTTGGTTGAAGATTTCATCCACAAAGACCCATTGAAATCAGCTAAAAAGGAGATAATGGATAGAGGAAAAAGCACTGGGGCAACTCCATTTCTATGATTTAGCCAGTATTGGCATGGAAACAGTGGGTGGGAGGCTGCTCACAATCGTGTTTCGGTCTACCAGGGCCTTTGAGCCGTACCGCGCGTACGCAGTCAAAGAAGCGCGCAGCCGCCAGCAACTCGAAAACATCGCATTCGTACGAGAGACGGCGCATGACCGCGGGTCCCGGCCCAGTCAGCAGCTTCGACGGCTCTGTTGTTGTAGCTCGTTCCTTAGAATGATCCAAACCGCGGCCCTGCTACACTTCTCGCATGGTTGATCCATGCTTACTAAGTCTCCCCGCCACACTGCTCTTAACATCCAAGTAGCGAAGCCATGGTCCTGCAACACTTTTTGCAAGGTTGACCTAAATGCGTCTGCTTGGAAGACTGGGCTTATCCAGGGGTGGAGGTGGGGGGGGGAATCCGACTACCAAGCGGTGGGAAAGACTTGACTTAGCACAAGAGCTCTAAAACATCAGCGTGAGGTTCGGAAAGAGATCCATCACGCAGTCATTGGTTAGTGCCTTGCAGAATGGGCAGGCCGCGAGGGTACGTGGATACCTACCGATGCAAACTGCCCAGGTCTTGTCTCACGAGTCCCCGAACCCGCTGCAGATGAAGCGGCTCCATCTTAGGCGCATGTTGCGAGGGCTGCGAATGCTTAGAGGGTGGGATCTTGCAAGCCCTACACCTCGGTCCAGGGTTTTGAAGTATGGCCAACAAGGCAGGATTTCCAACTTTAAGTCGCCACCCATAGAATTCAAGAAGTATTAGGGTACACGGCCCACAATATCCCAAGTGCAGCAATCCAAGCCAGAGGTTTCGGATTTTCTGAAAGTTTAAGGTTGAAGGCTTAGATGTGAATCCAGAAGCTTTTGTTTGCCTCGCCATGCCTAGCCTGTGCACTGACGAACACTATCGAGAACTGCATGCGAGGTCGAAGAAAGGGGGCCCGTGTGTCTTTGACCTCCGGACCTTCTACAGTCAGGACCAAAAGCGCCCATTTTGCACCTGAAAGGACCTCAAGAAGCCCTTGTAAATTCTATGCTCCGAATGATGGCCAAGGCCCCGAGCCTTGAGCCGAACCCCCGCCCCCCCCAAACACGCGCACGACGCGCAAAAATCGAAGAAAACGGTTTAGGGTTTAGGGTTTAGGGTTTAGGGTTTAGGGTGTAGGGATCGATGTGCCCATGGCCAGCATCTTCGCGGGCATCATCATCCTTAGCGGCGCGCTTGGCGCCCGGCACCGGGCTGGGGTCTGTTTCGGTTTGGGGTATGGGATGGTTTGGGCCTGGACAAGTTCTGAGCGCCCAGGAGATGCGAAGAGCTTTTCTGAGCTTTGAACTGAAGGTCTCTTTTTCAGCGGGCAGGGGGCTTCTGAGCATAGCTTGTTGCCTTGGGTGGGCTTCGATGTAGGTTCGTTGTCGGGCCTTCGTATATACATCCACACGCAGCATGCGACATCCCCAGTGCCCGGCCAGATATCACCATTCGACGACCTGAGTCGTCAAACTCTAAGCCTGAAGCCTCCTGAAAAATGGCATCAGGGTTCTGGATTCAAAAAAGGGGCCAAGGGAGTAAACAGCATAAAAATGAGCGGGACAGGGCACGAGAAACCCTAAGTCCTGAACCCTTCCCCCAACAAGCTAGCAAAACAAATGAGCCATAAGAAGTAAACAGCAAGGTACAAACAGCAAGAGAAGGGCCGAACCAAAAAGCACACTAAAATCACAAGCTGGACAGAACCAAAGGCCGGGGGGCCTGATTGAGGCTCTGCTTCGTGCTGGATCGAAAGATCTTTGTCGGTTTGGCTCCGTGGATGAAGGCCGGATTCCCTGAAAGGAGTCTTTTGGCTGGAGTTTTGTGCAGTGCAGTTGGGGGGCCTGCGTTGTTCAGGAGTTGTTCTTTTTGCTTTTGGCTACGGGGCTTCGCAGGCCTAAGGCTTCTGCAGCCATCCGTCTTAGGAAGGTTTGGCGTGGAGGTGCTCGAGGTAGAGTGTCAGTGTGGCGCTTTGAATCTGTCTAGGACGGGGGTGAGATGCTTGCAAGGCCTTTGCCTGCTCTCCCAACATCAAGCCCGAAACTCCCATAGCAAGGTGCCGCTGTACATGACGCTGGGACTGGCAGTCGCCTTTGCGCTGACCTTCTCGATCGTCGATGTCACCGGCTGAGGGGGTGTAAGTTGATGTGAGTTGCTTCGGGCCGTAAGAATGCCATGGCATGCCTAAATGCGCTGAAGATCAATTTTGGGGGTATCTGGCACACCGCTATGGGAGCATTGGTTTTAGGCATGCTGGGGTCTACGGAGGGGGGCCGAAACACGTTGTTGTTTGCATGTTCGCTCCTCCGGAGCCTGGGCCGTTCCGAGCCCCCTCCCCCTCCCTCCCCGCGTTCCGACGCGTCTGCCCGGGAGAAGCAGTTCTCCAACGGAACGAGTGAGGTACTCCTTGCCTTGAGCCTAAATGGAGCCTGCGCCGTTCCTCTGCACCCGACACCGCCCCCCCCACCGGAAAGGCCCCTCTCTCAAAAAGTTGGGTGGAGACAGATGGCGGCGCTTACTTGCCGAGTGACGAAGCAAACACAGGCGCAACAGAAATGCATGCACTTTTGCAAGGACATAATTAGTTGCCGATTTCTTTCACTGTGCATCCTAATCCTCGGAAAGGCCCAGAAAACTTGCAAAGGCAAAGTTCGCCCTTGCGAAGGTTTCTCTCGTCTTAAACATCGAGCGGCTTCGCTTGCCAATAGAGCGGCACGGCCCAGGTGCTGAATTACATTATTGGCTTCTTTCAGAACTCTGTGGCAAAGCTGCAGCCTTGGCTCTGCCCCAAACTCCAACCCTCAACCACCCCCATCTCTAGCCTGGCTTGTAGCTGCTCCACCCTTGCGGGAAGGTTCAGTTCAATTTCTGGTCTGGCGCAAGTTCCTCGTTCAGGACATAAGTACTCAGACACCATCAAACACTGCAAGAGAGAAAGCCTGCAAAATGTTGCCGGGATTCTGGGGCAGAATGGCTCCCTCCAAGCCGGGTTCAGGGTTTAGGGTTGCAGTTCGGTCGTTGCCGTGGCGATTTCAGCGAAAGGCCCGTGGTCGAGAGTTCGCAGCAGGCTCGGCTCTGCTTGCACGGCTTCATCTGAGGGGGGCTGGAACCGATGGAACCCGCTTCGAACACAGACTGCCCTGCATACGCATACCGCCCTCGGGGTCCCAGCGCACGACTTCCGGTTGAACCATCTTTCTCTTTCTGCTTGGTTGCTGAAAGCGCCCAGTAGGATGGCGTATAGATTGCAAGTCAAAGAGAGGACAGTTGCTGCCGTCACAGCAATCAGATGCCGAGGCCTTGAGGCTAAGATTTCTGTTGTAAGATTTAGGCTGTTTTGTGGTGGGTACTTGAGGGCTTGGGGTTTCAGATGTTGCGTGCAGGTGTTCTTAGTTCTCATCGTCTCTCTGGCCACGCACTCAGGCAACAGTATATGGTTGAGACAGAAAAAGGGACAAAACTGGAATCCAAACGACTTTGGTCCATCATAGTCGTCGGGACCGTGCCCCGACTCCAAACCTGCACCATCCCCGTCGCGACTGACAGCCAACGAAAGCCACGGACGCGGAACAGGAAACATGCAAAAGGATTCCTAAAGGAGCAACGATACACGGCAAGCCTTTCCCCACAACTTGTAATCCTAAAGTGGCAAAGGCCTAGACATAGAAGGGACCCTGAGCCGCTACTGTAGCCATTGCGGGCCCTATACATACATATATATATATATGTAATATATATATATATATATATATATATATACATATACATACATATATATATATATATAGGTAGATACCCTTTCAGGGATTACATAGGGTACCTCATTCCCCCCCCCCATTTCCCTGCGAGCCAACCGTCAGCTCAAGCTGCTTCGATGCCGGTGGGGCCGAGCCCCGAGGCCATGGGAGTGGTGTTCGGCTTTACGTTCGGCTTGCTCGACGTAGAGGACGAGGAGGCCCACCTTAAGGGGGTTTAGGGTTTAGGGTTGAGGGTTGAGGGTTTAGGGTTCAGGGTTTAGGGTTCAGAGTTTAGGTAGGGTTTAGGGCTTAGGGTTTAGGGTTTGGGCTGCTGCTTAGACTTTAGATGACTTTAGCAATTGATGATGCAGTTTGCCACTGCTTCGCGCGTCTGGTTTTGGACTTGTGCGGCAAGGGCTCGCTGGTTGTAGGAACGTTGAGACAATGCCGGGGCTGGGCTCAATGATGTCGAAGGGGGGGTAGGAATGGGTACGTTTCATCGCCGCTGCCAGGCAGGATTGGTGGCAGCAAAGATCAGAGTAATGATCTTGAGTTTATGGCTGCGAGAGAACTCTACGACATCTCTGAACTCTGCAACACACGGACGCTCCACGACTTGTCGATTTGGACTCCCGAGTTGGCTCTTGGAGGAGTGTGTGGCCTACCAGTCCCGAGCCGCAGGATTTGGGGCTTTTTTCGGTGCCCCACCCTCGGTGTGGGGTTGTTAGATGTCAAGCGAAGCTCCTCTGCTCTCCCGGTCTGCTTCCCCCGCCCATCTCCCGAATCCCCAACTCCAGAGTCTCCCCCGAGGAACCCCGGGGAGCGTCCACCCCCAGAGTATCCTCCACAAAATGCCTGGAGCGCCCAACCCCACGAAAACCCAACCCCAGAGTACCTTCAGAGAATCAGCTTTGAGTACGTCGACCTCAATCCGCCCCCCATCCAAAAGATCCGGCAAGGTCTACCACATGCGTGTGGCTCTGATGCGGGAGGACGCAGCGTCCAGATACTTCCTTATGCTTGAACAAGGTCATGGTTCCTGTGTTTTTAGTCTTCGCAAAATGCAGATTTTCAGGTCGCGCTAAATCCACAAGCAAGAGCGCGTATAAAAGCGCAGACGGGGAAGGTGCCCGAAACACCACAGGCTAAACCCAACTGCGTTTTCGTCTAGATCTTATGTTCATTTTTTGGAGAAAACAACTTTGGAGGAAAACTCGCACCCCAACTCAACTACCGAATGCCGAGTCAGGGGCAGGAGCTTATAGGGCCAGAGTGGCAGTCCTGCGGCCGGAGGGGCCAAGGCCAACGCCTTTCAAAGTCACCGGGACTGCAAGTTCGTGGAAGTGTGAAGAATCCCGGACTCGAGGCTTTGGCGCTTCGGGAAGGGAGCTTAGGTTTGCAGGGTGTAGGGGCCCAAGGCAAAGCTTCTTTTTCAAACGGTTCAGGTGGCCTGGGGCCTTCTGGCCTTCGTCCACATGTACGCCTTCATGGTGCGAAGCATGGATGCTCTGTGGATGCTCTGTGGATGCTCTGGGCATTCGCATAAATTCGTAACATTGAGGGGAAATGCATTAAGACGCAGGGCCGCGTACAGCTGCCGACACCTTGAACTAGAGCATGATCTTACGCGGCGACGCGCAGTGACAAGTCTTTTTCAACAGCACCAAGCATACCCAGGCCTTTTGGGGTCAGGATAGGGTAGTCCACCAGAGGAGCACTACTGCTATCCCATGGGCATCGTGCCGCGCCCCGAGCTGATGCTGGCACCCTCGGCAGTCGTTATCTCATCCAAGTCCCGAATTGTGACGGGCGTCCTTGGCTAAGAAGAGCACGGGGAGGCCATACCACAAGTTTCTTTGGTTTCAACCGCGGTTCTAAGTACCTTGGACGCAGCCTTAGATGACTTTCTCTCGCCCCTCCTTCACCCAGCGCTGAGATTGGGAGCTGTGTCCGGATTCGGCAACGAATACTACCGGCAGAAGGACGTGCTTGGTTTCCGTGGTCAGGGCTGACGGTGGATGTAAGAAGTTCTCAGGCTTCGGGTCTTATGAGTCTTACAACATTCCCAGTATGCTGAGGTGGCTTGTAGCAGGCCCTGGGGAGCTAAAGCCAACACCTCATGGCCCTGCAAAGAGCAAGACGATGAGAACGACGCCACGTGTACTCATGGAGGGACGGAAGGTTTCGGCTTCAGGGTAAGCAAAAGTATGTGGTACCGGTGCCTTTACGCAGCTTAACCTGAACTCTGGCATCTTAGCGGTGGGACCGCTCCCACGGCTTGAACATGCTTGAACTTCTCGCAGGACGACTATGCAGGCTACCAGGCCTGACCTCCCTTCTGTTGTTCGCCTCCTCTGCGGTGCTGCGATTTTGGTTTTTGGGTTTGTGGATGGGGCATTCGCCCAGAAGAAGTGGGCCATGGAGTGCAAGTGGAGCTTTCTGGCGGCCCGCTAATGAAATGTGGTTCGATTCAATTGTTGCCTTGACCCTAAGCAAGTCCTGGTTTAGGAGACGACAATGTAAGAGATGGAGCGGGACGGAGAGGGAGAGGTGGAGGGGGTGAGCGTGGCCAACCTGCGCCGGGGAGGGGTGACCCTTCCCGAACCCCACAAAGAAAGAAGGAAAGACATAAAAGAATGAAAGGAGCAAAAAAGGAAATACGCAAGGAAGGAAGGAATGAATGAAGGAAGGAAAACAAAACACAGAAAGACAGAAAGAAAGAAAAAAGAAACAATCTAAAAAAGAAAGAAAAAGCGAGCGAAAGAAAGAAATCAAGAAACACATAATAAAACAAGGGAAAACATGGAAAGAAAGGGAGAGTGCATTGAGCGTGCTCTGGAGAGCTTGGACTCGGTCGGGCTCTGGGCTGTGCGGAAAGGTTCGGCTCTGCTTTGCTTTTATGCATTGCTTTTTATACATTGCTTCTATGCCTCGCTTTAATGCTTTGCTTTTACGCTTTGCTTTCATGCTTTGCTTGCTGCTTGGGGTTCACTTTTGCTTGATTGGCTTCGCTGGCTTGCTTGGAGAGCTTGGGATGTTTGGTACACTGCCCCCAGGCAGCCCGGGAAAACGACTCTTGCTGTTCCAAAGACCCTCTGTGAACATGATGGCTCAAGCAATGTTTTGCTGAGAGCAGTCGAATGAGTTGTAGAGTTTCAGACCCTTTGCCCACAAACATCTGCTGCAAAGACGTAACGCCTGTAAAGCCTGTCATGCCAGCTTCTTTTTCACTGCAGGGACTTGCGCAGACGGAGTTCGACGAAGATATCTAGCGAAGCCAGCACTTGCCTGAGCTGAAGTCGTAGGGATCTCCCCTAAACCTTAAACCCTAAACCCTAAACCCTCGAAGGTAAAGCCGGCTCGGCTGTCAGGGCGAATTTCCTCTGTGGGACTCTGGGGATGGGGTAAGGCCTTCTTTGCTCATCATGGCTTCTTCATAGGGTGCCGGTCTTTAGATGTGGGTACGTTTCAAGTCTTTCGTTCCCATGATGGCTCCCGGTTTCTTGGCCGCTTGGATGGCTGGGTCACTTCGCTCCCTCGGAAAGATAAGGATTGAAAGTCGAGAGAGCTTAGGGTTGAGCTTCAACAATCTGACAGAGCAGCTTTGTTGGAGTCTTGGTGTTACGCATTAAGCTAGAAACATGCTCCTTGTCTGTGGCACCATGACAAGCAGTAAACGGCATCTTAGTTTCCTATTCCCCGAAGTTTCCTTCGGAGACGCTCGCGAAGCCAACTCCTCAAATGCAAAATCCCAAGCTCGAAGCAACCTCCCTCGTGCCAAGCAAGGACCCGCATGCCGCAGCGTGCGGAGAAGTTAGTGAACCGTGTGCAGGGGTTGCTCGAAAGACCGGGAGTATGCACACCAGGGTTCGCGGATATCTTCGGTTTGATATGCTGAATGGACACAGGCACAAATATTGGACAAGGAGGGGGCGTGATTGTAACGTCTCAGGGCTTGAAAACCTTGAAAATAGGTGGAGCCCTAACCTGAAATTGTTGAAGCCCTCAGTCCTTGTGCTTGTTTAATGAGCTAAGAAGCACTCCCCATGCAGAGAGAGGGTTTGGAGCTGCTGTGTACTCTTGATCTGTTTAGTCGTCACAAGGGCAATACAGTTGTATCTCTATACTTGTGTGGCTTGTGGGAATGAAGTGATGCGGCGGCTATCGAGGCCCAGATTCCATCTTGAATCTCATACAGCCCGGCCTGACTCTTGTAGGGTCTAATGTGCAACGGCTACTCGCAACGGTGAAGATTCCACAGGTTTGTACATCAGACCCAGGGTCTAACTTGCAATCTTAGTTCGGAGGAGACCTTTATACACCTGAGGGTTGCGTTGGGCATCGTGGAATTTGGTGGTTGGGGATCTTGACGTGCTCTTGGGGTGCACAGAGACTGAAAGCTCTTCATAACCTCACACACTCTGGAATCCTCCAAAACCGTCCGGACCCGGACCACCTTGCAGTAACTAGCGTAGCTAGTATGATTGTAAGCATCGACTTTGGACCACGTTGCGCCACCTGTTGCCTGTCTTGCCCCGTGATGCAAGCAGATAACGATGTTCCATGGTCGAGCGAATGTTTGAGAACCGCTGGGTTTCGCAGCATTTGCTTCCACAATAGAAATTGGCTGGAACGCCTTGAGCCCAATCCAAAATCCTAACCTTAGATGCTACATGCACCGAACTCCTAAATTAAACCCAAGCACCTTGCGCGTAGCCTGTGTCCGTAAATGGCAGTGGTATCGCATTCAATGTCGCTTTGCTGCTATGCAAGTGATGGCCCCCTCTCACTTGCTTCGCACTGCCCGTCCAAGATGTAGCCACACCGATGCTCCTTACACATTACTTTTGGTTGGCCTTAGCCATGTGCGCTGAGCCATGGATGTACCCTGCAGTGACTTGTCTGCACGGATCACTGGTGCTGCTCATGGATCAGGTCCATGAGGGTTCTAAGGCTTAGGGTTGAGCGTTCAGGCGTATTTCCCCAGACCTGCAGTGAGTGGATATGAGTAGACAGCAGTAGGTCGCCTCGCGTGATGGTTTTGCGTGCAGTGTTTGGATGGTCCCTTGTATGCTTGAGGGCTCTAGAGGGTGTCACTCTTTCACCATCTGTAGGTCGAGGGCTCTTCCAGGGCTCCTTCATTCCTGGAATGAGAGCAAAGTAAGCAGCTTACATGCATGCGCACTCGAAAAACCTGCACCCTGACAGCAACTGCCATCAACACCCAAGCCCCCGGTACTTTTCTTCTCCGTGAGTTAGGTGTTCAGCCTTGGGACGCAGGCGTTAGGCACTTTGTCGGGCATGAACTCTCTGCAGGTGCACACCCGTGAATTGACGAGGTCTGTCGGTCACCTTATGTCTCTGTGCTCTAACCCCCACCCAACCTCCAAGTGTGCTGAGTAGGAACTAAACCCCTGAACGGGTAGAAGTCGATTCAGAATCCGCAGGCCCTTGATGGCTGCGGCTAGGGAGGCGCTGACGGGCGTGTCGGGTTTTCTTCACAGCACGTGAGATTCAATCCTAGCCGAAGTTAAGAACTTCACGCCTACATGATACGTTCGGGGCGGTTTGCGGGGGGGCTGCTTTGGCAGTGCGCAAGGGCATCAGATCAGAAAGCGACGCTGGTTCATCATCTTGGCCCGAGCCAAGCGCTCTGAGAGCTTCCAGCTCCTGATCGGTGTCACTTGCAAAGCCTCGGTTTCAAGAACGTCGCCCCCGAGAATCCCCCATCTCACACGATGCCAGTAGCTAGAAGCAACAGCATGGCAATAGCAGCCCGAATCCGCGAGTTGGAAGACTCGTTGGCGGTGGCTCTTCGGTCCTCCGCCATCGAATGGGCATTGCACCCAGACTGCTCAGGCTTGAGGTTGACAGATGCTGATATCCCGAGTCATACATATCCGTCCATCCATATTCATCCGCAGGACGTAGCCCGTGACCGTGGCATTTACATTCTTTAGATCTTTTGCTTTAGGTGCAGTAAGCCAAGAATCGAATGAAGCCTGAACCCTAGACTCTTTTTACCCTCTCAGTCTCTGAGACCCGAAAGCATGCCTACTGAGGCCGTCAACGTACAGATCTGCGACTTGATCAAGGTGTGCTCTTGCATTTGAGACTGTCAGGTTTTGGACTTTAGGTTTAGGGCTGACATGTCGGAGTGTCAAAGCTTGCTCCGGGACATATTGACGATCGCAGTTTGAGGCTTCTTGGGTTTAGGGTCCGTTGTGGGTGCACATGCCGTAGCAAGAGTTTACGCTTCGAGATGGCAAAGCTCGTCGGATTGAGATCAAGAGACGCAAGAGTGTGTACAGTGCATTATCTGTCCAAGATAAGGACCTCAATGCAGTTGCATTCGTTGTAACTGCCCTGTCGCTCACAATACAAGCCCAGGTCAACTGCTGGTTTCGCCCAAGCCTGAAATTCAAAGTTGTAAAGGCCCAAAGCCTGGCAATCAATCGTAGCGCCGTTTCAACTCTGACTTCCAGGACTTCTGCAACCCGAGGCCTTATCAACATTTTTTCACGCCAAATCCTTGCTTCTATTAAAAGTCAGTTCTCAAATGCCAACAGTCGCTTAGATGCGCTCTCACATCCTACACAGGTTCCCAATAGAGAATCTTTCGATCCTCGAGCTCACCACTTTCTCAACAGCTTTCTTGACCAGCAGCCTCGAGCTCACCACTACCCCCCTAGTCTTTTTTTTTGAGCAGTATCTTGAGAAGCCTCCTGGTCCTGCGCCCGCAAACAGCTCCTAGGAGAATCGCCACCTCGCCCCTCTGGCGCTGGCCCGCATCGAGGAACGCCTCCGCAGGGCCGCTTAGGTACTTGGGGGGTTTAGGGTTTAGGGTTTGGGGTTTAGGGTTTAGGGTTTAGGGTTTAGGGACTTACAATCAGTTCTTGTTCAGGTATTAGTTGTTTGGGGGGGGGGAGAAGGTGGGAAAGTAGGGGGGAGGAGGGAGGGGTTGCGGGAAGGGACGGCGCTGGGAAAGACTGGTCGTAGGGAATTGTCGCTTTTGGGTGCACAGGGTTGATGGCTTCAGGTTTCTACTTCTCTCCACATCATCATGTGGGTTTTTTTGTTTTTAACGGCCTCCCGCCTGCCTACCACCGCACGCACCCACATGCAGCCACACGCACCCACACGCTCCACACACACCCACATGCCACCCACACCCACGTGCACCCACGCCTACACCCACCCACACCCACACACATTTGCCCTCCCCCCCCCCACCCGCACACACACAGTCAGTGACACGGTGGACACGCCCATGCCCCCATGCCCCCACACACCTGCGCACGCGACTACACCCGCACGCACGTCCGCACGCCACATCTAATGTCAAACGGACGTCTGAGGCAAAGAGACCCCATCGACTGTGCATCTGGCGCTGAGCCTCCTGGAGGCTCAGCGCATCTGAACGCCCCAATGCTCACAAGCTCCACATGCTCCACATGCTCCAGATGCTAGATCTCTACGGTGCATCACGAGACCCCCGAAGCCTGAATTTGGTGAGCCAACGTCATGTTTCCAGGCTTTCTGCGTCTTTCGAAGAGCTTGGTCGTCGGGGCAGTGGTCGTACTTTGAGTTCAACAAAGCAACATGGAGCAACCACAGCAGTTGCAAGATCTTTTGTGGAGGGTCTAGGACTCGTTCTGTGGAACTTTTGCTTTAAAGGCTTGCCGTCATACGGTTTGTGGGGGTCGGGGGGCGCGGTGGGGGAAGGATACCCAGGACCACATATCGAACGAATGCACCGACTTGGTCGCCGATGGTCCCAAGCCCCAACGCCGCAGCGCGTCCGAAACCCTAGACTCCTAGACCCTAGACTCCTAGACCCTAGACCCTAGACCCTGAACCCTAAACCCTAAACCCTAAACCCTAAACCCTAAACACTAAACCCTAAACCCTAAACCCTAAACCCTAAATCTTAAACCCTAAACCCTAAACCCTAAACCCTAAACCCTAAACCCTAACAGATGCTCGTGAAGAACTGTGGGCTGATTGTCTGCCAAGCCATTGGCCCAGGCAGCACGGGCCGCAACAGGGGAGGGGTGAAGCGGTTTGGGCATCTTGCTTGGGATGAGGAGTTCAAGTATTTATTAGTGTTCACTTTTTGGGGCCTTTGTGTTGCCCTCCTTGTTCCCTCTTCGCGGTTTTGTGGTTTGCTTTTCGATTCTGCAGCTTTGAGGCGTTTGTATTTAGGGTCAGGGTTTCCTTGGGAGGGGTTTAGGGTTAGAGTTTGCATGGTCCACTTGTTTGGCAAGAGTAAGATGTGCTGATAGATTGTGCTTGCTGCGTATTGCGTGGGAAGAGCTGGCTGAACTGTACCACACGTCCTTCATTCTTCGAAACACATCGTTACGCGCTTGGTCTTTGAACCTTGTCGCTTTGCATTGCCGCGTGCGTGAGATCACACTCTCCTCACAATCGTTTGTACGTTCTGTGGTCTGTATCGTCCCACCATCCACATTGAAGCTGACTTGGTGCCCCCGCGTGACTTTTGCACACTTTTCGGCCACACGGTTCCGTGCAGTCCTAGATGTCCTTGCAGCGGGGCAGACTGCTGCGTTCCACACAGCGCCTTGAACCACAGATATGGCCGAGACGCTCGTCTCCATCGTCAAGAAGAGGGAGAGTTGGAGGCAGGGTTGTTCAAGGTTGCTTGGTTGTGTTGCAAGGAGCTATAGACAAAATGCGTAGATGCTGCATCCCTGCACGACTATTGAAGTTGATTGAAAACGCAATTGACACGGCAATATGGTCATGGAACATTGAAAACAGCCTAAACCTTGCAGCAGTAGCGGGCTCTTTGTTTGACGAACTTTTGAAAGGGACGTGAACTGATGAATAGGCGCGGGTTCCACTCAAGCGGAGGTGATGGTCCCTGGTTGTGGGTGTCTTGCGGGGTTCCTGTATAGCTATTCTTCTGCCTCGCATCTGCTTGGTCAGTTGCCACCCTTGCACTAGTCTGAGCCACTCTAGTATTCCCTCTCCACTAGTTGCTCGCAGCTCAGTTCAAATGGCGAACAAATATGAGATGGTGTTGTCACCAAAAGGGTTGAGCCCCCTTTTTTTCTTTTTTTAAGAAATTTCAAAATCTATTTTTGAATAATATTAGTGTATGTTGAAATTCATATTATTATTATATTATTATTGTTGTTGTTTTTTTTCAAACTTTTGTCTGAAGCTCAGACATGTCTCAGCACGAGCTAAGAGGCCCGGAGAAGGGTTGGACCGCCAAAGTCGGGGAACGCCCATGTTAGGGCTTGGGGTTAGGGGTTTAGGGTTTAGGGTTTAGGGTTTAGGGTGTAGGGTTTAGGGTTTAGGGTTTAGGATTTACTTCGAAAGACTTGATAACAAGTGCTCTCCGAGAACAACCCGATGATGTTTAGCCATCTGGTGGGGAAGTTCGAGCCATCTAAAACCCTCTTGCAAAGACCCCTAAACCCTAGACCCTAAACCCTAAACCCTAAACCCCAAACCCTAAACCCTAAACCCCAAACCCTAAACCCTAAACCCCAAACCCTAAGTAAGTCCCATCGATCCATGAAGCTCTGCTGGCAGAGGTATGGCTTCGGCCGAAATCTGCACAAGTCAGGGCACCTTGGTGCGCAACGCTAGGGGCTTGGGAGTCTGGGTTTGGGTATTCGGTGACTCAGCGAAGTTGGAGGTGGGGAGAATCCCGGCCATACCAAACCTTCCCAAGCCTCTCGCTGAAAGCCCTTCAGGTTGGTTCTCATGGTGTTTAAACACAAGCATGGGAGGGCGGGTGACCTTGGTGATCCCCTTCGATGCTTGTAGGCTCTTTTGGCGGTGGTTTTTTGTTTACTTTTTTGAGGATGGAAGTTCAAAAATGCTGCAGCAAGGTCTCGTGAGACCCCGCGTTTTTTGGAGTAGAACACTGGCTGCAAAATGCGATAAGAACAGGCACTTAAAAAACAAGTTCGGTTGGAACCCGCCGCTTCGCCTTCAGCTCTGCCCTGGCAATTTTGAGCCCGCTGGATTTTGCGCCTTTCAGGGTTTTGGGTCTCTTTACTATATCCCCCTTGGGAAGTAGTATTTCTTGGTTTGGATCTTCGGGTTTGGGTGTGGTGTCGATGCAGCCACGGGTGGTGTAGGTCGAGATTTGAAGAAGGGTCGTTGAAAACAGCTTTCCGGGGGGACAGGTAGGGCCTGCCCTCAAAGACATAGCTCCGTGCAAACGATGCTGCTTCTATCCTCGGTTTTCAGGAGGAAGCCAGGAGGCTCGAGAAGAATCCTCAGGACACAGTCCCACATTCCTGGACCCTAAACCCTAAACCCTAGACCCTAAACCCTAAACCCTATAGAGAACCTGAGGGCAAGCCAAGCATCCCCTCGTGTAGATGGCAGGCTCTCGGAGTGGCTTCCGCAAGGCATGACCATCGGTGAGGCCCCCGTGCTGTAAAAAAGACAGGGTTTAGGGTTTAGGGTTTAGTGTTTTGGGGTGGGTGGAGTTCGACTGTCTGGGCTCAGGATGGGGCTTCAGGGTTTGGTGGTTGGGGATTTGGCATGCAGAAGGGTGAAGCCACCCATGATGCGCTGTCAAGCACGCGCTCAGACTGATGGACCACCTGAAGCCGCAAGCTGATTCCTGAGGCCCCTACACCAACATGCCCGGTTCAGAGCTTTCCGGTCTAAGGTGAAAGGTCCTCCCTGAGCATGGGCATTGCAAATTAGATCGTGGTTTGCTTGGGATCACGGGGGTTCGCTTCGGCAGTGGAAAGTGCAGGACCATCGGGCCCAGTGGCAGCAAGCGACACAGAAGGCCCTTGCCGTGATGCGCAGCGATGTGATGCGTTTGCTAGGGTATTCACGCATTGCATGCTCGTTCATTCAAGCACTCTAGTCTACATCGCTGTATCAGCCTGTATCCCTTACTTTTCGACACGGTAGCTCGAAACGCTGAAGCCAGGAAAGCTACCCAGCAGGCCCCGCAATCTCCGAAATCCTGAACACAGAAGCAGTGTCTGCAGCCGTTTGACACTTCACGGCGGCGGGGGTCCGCGCTGCGAAATCCTGCACGCCCGCAGCTGAAGTTTTCAAAGCAGCAGATGCTCAGGGCTAGTGTTGCTTGCCAGCCGGGTTCTCAGGGCTTCCTAGAGCTGGGGCTTACGAGATTGGTCTAAACATTGCTGTAAAACTTCTGGGCTTATGAAGCTGGCCGGCCCTTGCCAATAATAATTTACAAAATTAGTACGGCCCTGGGTCTTCCAAAGGGTGGTAAATTGAGGCATGCTTCGGTCTGCGGGTTTAGGGTTTCGGGTTTAGGGTGTAGGGTTTAGGGTTTAGGGTTGAACATTTCCGGTAAAGCCGCGTAGAGTTGGCTACGAAACAAAGTTGGCACGCCAAGCGATTTAAAGGTCCATGCCGTTTGCTTCTACTCTTCGGGCTGTGGATTCTGAAGCGTAATTTGGGAGATTGCCGAGCCTGTCCTTTAGAATTCCTGGGCTTCAGACGTTTAGGGGTCTAGGCCCGAAACATCGCCACGGGGGATTCATGCAGCTGGCGCCCCTGTTCCTTTTGCCATGCCTTTGCAGTGCGGCGGACTGGAACCTTATTCCAGACTGGGACCCTGTATCCCCCTTGGGAATCATTGTTTTTATGTTTGTTTATATAAAAACCCAAGAGCATATAAAAAATGTTGTGTTTATGAAGGTTCTAAGGGGAGTATAGGAGCACGCACCCTTCTTGCACGGCGTCGCGTCGGCGGACCCTTTGGGTGACCGGGTTCTGATCTGGACGCGTGTCAGCAGCCACGGTGCGGACACACAAGTTGCAGCTCCGCCTTTCTTGGGGCAGCCATTATTATTATTATTGTTATTATTATTATTCTTATTATTGTGATTATTATTGTTTATTATTATTATTATTATTATTATTATTATTATTATTATTATTATTATTATTATTATTATTATTATTATTATTATTATTATTATTATTATTATTATTTATTATTTTATTATTTATTATTATATTATTATTATTATTATTATTATTATTATTATTTTATTATTATTATTATTATTATTATTATTATATATTATTATTATTATTATTATTATATTATTATTATATTATTTATTTTATTATTATTTATTTGTTGTTTATTTTTATTTTTTTTATGGGGGGGGGTTATGCTGTTGTCTGTCGTGGAATACTTCGAAGAGCGAGTTGAGTTGGTCTTACCTGGCCGCGGGGGCCCGAATATCACCTCCAGAAGAAACAAGCCAGAGCCAACACGAGCCCTAAGACGACAACCCTCACAAGCGCAGGCACAGAGCGAGAAAGAGCACAGCTCTCACAAGCACAAGCGGAGCACAAACATGGAGCACATACCAAGCTGGCATGCGTTGCAAAAGCTCAAGCGTACCTCAGTGCAAGATCCCTTTGCGCAAGTCGGCCATAAAGGCCAACCCTGATAACCGTTTCACAGCCTGTCACCCCAAGCCGCGTGGGCCTACCGCAGAAGCTGCTTGCTGGACGTACCAGGAAGGAACCAGGCTCTCAGCACGCTACATTGGCAGCTGTTGCTCGGTCCGACTGCCTCAGGGCCTCAGACCTTGAGCCCTCTCAAGGAAAGTGATGATGGCACGAATGACGGCACTTTTCAAGGCGCTTGAGGTGGCACTGCTCCACCAAGCTGTTTGCAATCTACAAACCTTCTGCAAGTGCACGACTTCCAACCCAGATCTGAGCACTCGCACCAAAAATGCGCGGCCAACGTGGTGGATGCAGCCGAAATTCATGACAAAAAGAAAAGCGAATAAGAAACACATCACCAGGCATAGAAAACGTGTTCTGGCGCTGGTGCCTGTGCTGCACCTGCATAGTCCGAAAGCAACTGAGCCCTAAACCCTAAACCCTAAACCCTAAGCCCTAAACCCTAAACCCTAAACTGGCCCTAACCCTAAACCCTAAACCCTAAACCCTAAACCCGAAACCCTAAACCCCAAACCCTAAACCCTAAACCCTAAAGTCACCCGGCCTCCCGCAAGGCTTGGCACCTGTGGAGTGAGGAGCATGAGTCCTTCGAGAGGCCTCTCCGGCGCGGCATCGAGCTGGCATCCGCCCGTACAGACTCTTGGTAGGGTTTAGGGTTTAGGGTTTAGGGTTGAGGGTTTAGGGTTTAGGGTTTGGGGTTTAGGGTATAGGGTTTAGGGCGAGACTCTTTGGTAGGGCCCTTGTGGGACATTTTTTGTTGATGTCTTTCCCTTCTTGGGTTTAAGAAGACCATACTGAAATTATTGGGTTGAAGAAAACCAGACTTAGGAATTGTTGGGTTTCAGAAGACCATGCTTAGGAATATTCTTCGGGGGGTTTTGAGGGCCAACCTAGGACTATACCATCTCGGTGGATGTGACAGGTTTGCGTCCTGGTGAGCAGTACATGTATCAGTTTTCTGTTGGCGGCAACCGTTCAATGCTTGGGCGCACCAAAACTGCGAGCAATGCCACCAAAGTAGACTTGGCAGTTGTCTCCTGCACGAGTCTCTGGAGTGGGTTCTTCAACTTCTATCGCCAACTTGCTTCGGAGGAGGTGGATGCAGTTGTGCATCTAGGTGACCTGATCTATGATAAGCCTGACCCGGACGAACTGGTGCGGGTGCCGGACGAGTTCCGCTGCGACCAGGAAACCAGCCTGCATGTGCCAAATGTGGCGACCAGGATGGTCTTAACGAATGTTGTAATACGTGTATTCGTCATGTTCGTGACAGAGTCAGCTGGGATGTTAGTCAGAAAAAGCTGTTGTCTTCTTCTCATCTTAGCAAGAGCAGTTCAGGTGATGGATGACTTGCGAGATGCGTTCTGCCACACATCGGACTTGACAAGGTACCGTGCGCTGCATTCGGTGCACATGTTCGATCCAGACTTCCGACTGGCACGATCGAGACATCCTTTCATCGTCATCTATGATAACCATGATGTCAACTGGCCGGATGCGAACAACTCCATGCGCGCATTCCGCGAGTGGGTGCCCATTCGAGTTCGCGAGCCAAGTCAATTTTCGGAAGGCAGCTTTCGACACTTTGAATTCGGGAGCAAGCTGGTGGATGTCTATGTGCTTGATACCACAGCCTCGGCAGGCACACAGGGCCTCTTGGGCAGCGAACAAGAAGACTGGCTCGAGGCGCAGCTGCAGGAGTCGTCCGGTACATGGAGGCTTTTCGCATCTCCAAAGACCTTCATGCCCCTGACGCTGAACAGGATTGGACCTGCACTTGCTGTGCCGGTTGCTTGCGTCTCTCTTGTCCTGTTGATGCAGGCAGCTTGCTGCAGGATACTGATGCGCCGCTGCCCAAGCCTGAACGACGAAGCTCGTCAGGACTCGCAGGTATGCAGTGGCAAGGGGCGTGCAGTGACGCGGATCGTGCGGTCGTTTTCTTTCTGTTCCTGTTGCATCTGCTGGCTCTGGACCCTGGCTGGTGCTATCACCTGCGCGCTCTTAATTGTTAAGCTTGACACGCACAATCTGAACCTTCTTCATGCCACGGACACAACTTGGGAGGGCCAGCCCAGATCAAGGAACTTGCTGTTTCAGCAGCTGCAGCAAAGTGGAAGGGTGTCCAACAACATCTGGGCGGTTGGAGACATGCACTTCTCGTACCTCGCAGACGTATTCCAGTTTGACTTCTTCGGCAGAGACTTGTTCACATACAGTCCAGAGGCTGTCGCGGAAAGGTTCGGCGTGGAATTCATGCCCGGTTCCGGTAGTCGAGGAAACATGGACGAGAAAGTTGGCGAGCTGCTGGGTCCCCTCTTCGCACCTCCATCCCTTGTGTCCCGTGTTCTGGCGGGCGTAATCGACTACGCGATTCGGTCCGCCAACCCTCACTTGCGACACTTCGAAGGTTCTGAGCACGGCTATGGGCTGTTGAAGATCGCGGCACATCAGGTTCAAGCCAGTTGGGTTCGTTTTGATGTGCTGGGTAGGACAGATGGATTTACCAGAGTTTCCGGGATGCACGTGAATGTCGAAGACAACCAGTGGTCCCTTGAGCCAGCCTTGGTGCAGACTACCTGTGCATCAGGCCATTAGAGGCACCCTGCGATCTCGGTCGCCAGCGCGTGTGTGCCCGAAAATGAGACGCAGTCCGGCTGCCATACTTTCCTTGCAGCTTTCTATGGGGGAGCAGGGGAGTTCTTGGTGGCGACTGTAGTCGTACTCCAAAAGGCGCAGCCGCCACTTCGACTTTGCCTCGAAGCATTCGAGCCGAAAGCCAACAACAACCAAAGCCTGAACCGCACTTGACAGACAGAAGACATCTGAAGACATCTGAAGATTGCAGGTCCTCGAGATCCTCCAGCTCAGTGTGGACGCCTTCATGCTGTGCTGCCGCCTGATTGAAGGTTGTTCGCATGTATGTGAGCTTATCTGCTGGTTTGCTTCTTTTCTGGCCGCTGTTTGTGTTTCTGCACAGGATCTGTCTCGCATGCATCTGGCTTGGTGAGAACACACGTGTTGTGTGTAGGGTTTCTGTTAGCTGTGCTTGTCCTTGCTGGAATCGTCAGTTTCCTTGCCGGTTCTTCCCTGAGCACCGAAGCATTAAACCGCTTTGGATCCTTGCTGCGTGCGTGGCCGCGCTCAAGCGACTCAAGAAGAAAATCGAAATGCTACGCTAAACCCTAAACCCAAACCCTAAACCCTAAACCCTAAACCCTAAACCCTAAACCCTAAACCCTAAACCCTAAACCCTAAACCCTAAACCCTAAACCCTAAACCCTAAACCCCAAACTCTAAACCCCGAAACCCCTAAACCCAAAACCCAAAACCCTAAACCCTAAACCCTAGACCCTAGACCCTAAACCCTAGACCCGAGACCCGAGACCCTAAACCCTAAACCCTAAACCCTAAACCCTAAAAGTTCTCAGGACCTCGAACCTGCCACTACAGCCCCCATCTGATGGCGCCAGGCACGAAGGGACAATGCGACCCATCTTCAACGCGTGACCGACCTCCTCCAAGCCAGAACTCGAAAGTTTTTCAGGGCTCGGGTGGGATTACCCGGGGGCTTGGGTTTTCTTAAGTTGGGTGTGGGGTGAAGGAGTTTGGACTTGGGATTCGGAAGTTTCGACTCTGTGACTTCGGGCCAAGGGGATGGCGAGGGGCTTGTTGTTTTCAGCGCTGTGTGGCTTGGGGCTCTGCGGGCCGAAGGGTTGGGTTTTGGGGTGAGGATTCGTGGGCACATCCCAACTTCTTCACCGGCTTCCCCCTGCTCCAAGCCCCCAAACCATCAACAAGGATTCTGGCTGTGGACAGAGGAGGGTTCGCGGGGGCTGCGCATGTTTTCTTCTGCTTAACATGGAGCTGTGCACATGGTGAACGTTTTGACCCCTTGCCAAAATACGTTCGCCGCTGTTTGGGTCGTGTTTGGTTGCTGCGAGAAGGAGTGGGGAACGAACCTAGAAGAGTGAGGGGGGGGGAGGTCGGTTGGCAAAGCATCCTCGTGTCTACATGTCCGAATTTGCGCGCGCAACACATGTCAATTTTTAATTCACGGGCTGACGCGCTCAATCCGACGAGCCGTGCAGAACTTACTATGGATCACACCCTGCCAGTGACGCACACGCTTTGTTGACCGGTTCTGCTGAGTAGAAGTTCTGTGAGTTTAAGTCCGTGCTGGCACTTTGTTGAGTTTTTATGAGTTCAATCTCGTGGCCGCCACTATTGTCACAGGACATTCCCCTTCTTCGAGTTTTCAAGTTTTTTGCCTGGTGGAGGTGGGACGAGCCCACTGTGGAGTTCAGACAACCTAGCATGCTGTGGCTTGGCCCGAGGTTCTGGAGATAGACCCACCGGCTGCGCCGCCAGGCTAGAGCTAATCTCCTCCTCCTCCCCTCCCTCCTCCCCCCCCCCGCTTCCCCCCCCGCTTCCTTCCCCCCCCCCTCCGCCAGTCAAGCGCATGTTCGGCAGCCGGGGCCCCCTCTTTCGTTTCTTCGGAGGTACAAGCGCTTAAGGCAGGAGGGCTACCGGTTCCCACGCTCGGCAACAGGAGTGGCCGTCGCTTGGCCGCATGGGAGGGCAGCGCACAAGGAGTTCGGGTGTGGCATGGCAGATCTAGCTTTGGAGACCCAGCCATTTACAGACTTTGCGGTTACAGTTGCAGTGATGTGTTTTTTGGGGGTTTGGTGACTGAGGGGGCAAGATTTGAGGATTACGAAAGTGCAGTCAAGATCCCCAACACAAATCCAAAACCTTCAGGCAAATCTCTGCCTCGTGAATGGCGCAGAGGACAGCCGGGATGCTCAGCAAGCAGCCTCGAGACACATGCGGATGTGGCGCAGGTGTGTGCAGATGGCCTTTCAAAGCGCTTGCTGGGTATTTGGGGCAGATCCGTTGCGTTGTAGCAAGCCCTGGATTTGTCAAAATTGCCTCTCTTTATAATTTGTGCTGGAGATGTTTGCGGGGCTTCTGCGCCACGGGCCCTTAAACCGCAACTAATTCCGTAACTGCCGTAACTCTTGGAGAGTTCGGCGTTTCTTCTTAGGGGTCGTTGTGGTGCTGCTTGAATACCAAGAGCAGCTACATGTGGCAAGCGTGGTGGGCCATGTTGCTGCTCGTGATGTGCACTGTCTTAGATTGGCCCAGGGTTTGCGGTTTCTGTTCCCGGTCATCGAGAAATTGAAATTGGTTGTGTATGCAGACACTGCGGCAGCTACGCATTTTGGTATGGTGCAATGTGTTAGTGCCACGTTTTGCACTTTCGCTTCGCGCTTGCAACGTGCAAAGACGCGCAGGGCTCAGTCCGAAAACAATCAGGCCCTTGTCGGAAAACGAACGGGGCGAGTCAGACAGACAACAGCCTCGGTGAGAGAATATGCTAGCCATATTGTCTTGTAACCCGTGCGCTCCATCCGAGATCTCCGAGGCTCCAATCCGAAACCAGAAGGGTAAAGCTTCCTTCAATTGTCTTCTGATCCGGTGGCGGTTGCGATCGACGGTTCTAAGCGAGTTGCGCTTTCGCAGTGGGTATTCTGGTTTTTGTCTGCTTGCACGTTTCCTGACTGACTCCTTCGTTTTCCGACTCACGCCGTTTGGCTTTCCGATTGGAACCTTCGAACACGACCCATCGGCTACGGCGAATGAGTGGCACATGTTTGCGGCAATTTCGGTCTGTTGGTTTTTTCTGATTCGGCCGCTGGGGGTTCTCTGCACATTCTCCGAGTGCGCTGGGGGCGTTTCTGAATCGGGACCCCCCCGTTTTCAGCCCCCTCGCCCCTTCTGGCTGCATCCAGTGTGACGGGTTCTGATGCTCGTCCTACACGTGGCCCAAATCCTAAACTCTAAGCCCTAAACCCCAAACCCCAAACCCCAAACCCCAAACCCCAAACCCCACACCCCAAACCCCAAACCCCACACCCCAAACCCCAAACCCCAAACCCCATACCCAGGCCCTGCCTACCTGGCTGGTGCGACGACATCAAGTTCATCAGCAGCTCCACCGCCTCCTGCGCGGCCACCTGCGCGGCCAGCGGCAGAGGCTGAGGACGAGGCCCGCGAGCTCTCTCGGTCTTCGTAAGTTTGAAGAAGAAGGACCTTTAGGGTTTAGGGTTTGGGGTTTAGGGTTTGGGGTTTAGGGTTTCGGGTTTAGGGTTTAGGGCAATAGGGCGACTTCCCCCAGCAAGCATCAGAAGAAGGACAGAAAGAAAGCAGCAAGAAGAGGAATAACAGAAAGAAAATCAAGAAGCAAAGGAAGGGCGGAAATGATAGACGGAAAGCAAAAAGAGAACACAGGCAGGATGGACTCGGAAGGAAGAGAACTTGCATGAATTGCTATCAACTCCTATGAAACTCATGTAATCTCAGTAGACTCAACCAAAGAAACCCGTGTCGTATCGAAGAAAGGAGGCGAAGAAACCAAAAACAAACTCCCACTTGTACTTAGCTGGAGCGTCGCGTTGGTGATGGGTCAAGGCTTCGTGGCCGAAATGAAAAGATAATATAGCTCCAGGGCACCTTGTTGGCATCATACCCTTGTCACAAGTAAGTTTTCTCTCTGCGTGGACTCTTGTAGCGTGCCCAAGCAACATCTGAGTCTTTGATGGGCTGTACTACGCTTCGCCCTCGCACAGTGAAGACCAGAATCACAGCCAATCACAGCCTGTCTCTGAAGTCGCAAGCTCTGCAGCCGAGACAAAAGCCTTAACTATATCCCCTTGGGCATTATTTTTTTAATTGTTGTCTATAAAGCTCTGCAGCCGAGACAAAAGCCTTAACTATATTTTTTGTTGGGCATTATTGTTTTAATTTTTGTCTATATAAAACCCAAGAGGGTATTAACAATATTATTTTCATTTAGGTTCTAAGGCGAGTATAACTTTGCTGTTCTGTAGCATGCCTCAATGGCCCAGGAAATCGCCCGGATGATTGCCGGGACGCCCGGTCTTGTTGGCAGATTGAGTGTGGAGGTAAGTGTGGAGGTTTTCAGATTGTGTGGGGTAGGTAGGGTTTGAGGATGTCTTCTGGGATCGGAAGCGTGCAAATAATTGCCGAACTGCTTGCGACGGTTTTTGTTTGACTTCTTCTTGAAAATCGGAAAATGAAAGCCTGCGCTGAACCTACAGCTTGACGTTTTTCCGCACTTCTTGTTTCCCTCGGCGCTCGGTCCTCGGGTAGTTGGTAGGTTCCTTGCAGAGGCCCCAGTCGTTGGCTGTGCGATTCGGGGTGTAGCCCTCAGCCAAGACTAGACTTTGTACGCATTGCAAACCCGTCAGCCCGGTCTGGGGTTGGGTTTTGGCTATTTTGGCGTAGGACTTCGGAATCTAGTGATCTAGGTATGTGTTTGGAGTACCACGTGAACTCAGAACAAACTCGCCTTGTTGGAGCGTTAGAAACCGTTTCGTTCCCGTGCCAAGCCTGGGAGGGTGCGCGTGCGGATGCCTCGGACCGTGTGGAGCAGCTCGTACAGGCCATGCAAGTTTTGGGGGATGGATACTCACCAGGACAACACACTCTTGCTGCCAAGCCTAAAGCTCTACTTGCTGTGCAGGTGACATCCTTACATCCATGTCGTGGTTGCGTGTCATGCCTCGCGTCCC